CAACAGGTAATTTGAATAAAAGGGAGATGGTTTTTATACCGATATGATCCTTCTTTCTTAAGCCCTCAAGTTTACAATTCGTTCAACTGGGAAGTAAATCGATGGCACCATTGTATTTCTCACAAAAGTTTAAAATGAACAGATTAGTGTTAATGAAAACGAAAAATTCCGGCTCTCACAGGAGCTCTACTCAGTTAACAACTCATGATTAGGAAAACTCTTGAATAAGTTCCAATATTGATTCCTACGTAGCAGCACAGTCGCAGCAGGAAAAGCGCGGCATCACCCCTAACTTTCGCGAGGGAGTAGGCCGTTACCACCCCTCTGTTCACACAAGCTCGGTCGCTGTTTGTTTACAACGGGGCCAGGCTTAAATCGATCGCAATGTGACGCGAGCTAGCAATTCACTGCCCTTTTAAAACTGTCTCCCTGCCTATTCTTCTGCATACGAATCATTTGTTTCTACTTGTGGGGCGATCTTTGAATATGTTTCCGCTCGCTAAAACGTACAACTCGACACCTGACTAAACTTAAAGCTCAACGTTGACTTTGAAACGGAAAACTCATCGCAGAGGTACGTACTTCACTGTCACTGATAAATTCAAACTCCTTAAATTATCTGGAGCTCTCGAACATGAAGAAATACGTAATTGGAATACATTATCAAAATTCGGAAATATCAATGTCATTTAGATTAATGTGAAAGTCCAGAATTTTTACCAAACTTTTTTCGGAGGCTGAAACTTTGAAGAGGCCTGCCAAATGGACGTATTTCTGCGAAACGGAACTAAGCGCCAATTTGAGTTCCTTTTGAGGAATTTAGAATCCCGGATAGCGCGTTCTGTCAAACAGAACTAAGCGCCATATGGAAAAGCATTGCGAGTATAGGACGGAATGAGCCCGACGCCCATCTCCGCCGCCAATCCAAGCCCCCCTCTACCTTCCTCTCCCTATGGCGCTTAGTTCCGTTTGACAGGAATACGTCCAAATAATAGTTCAATATTCGCTTTTTTCTTCTCCAGGTAAAACAAGGCTACCTCTTTTATTGGACGACTCAAATATTTTTTCACACTTTTGCTTAATTTTGAAAACTCCAATCTCTCACAAGAGTATGAGTTCGTTTTTACTTTTTATTTCTCCTCGTTTGTTAGAGATGGACAAAACTATTTATAATAAAGAAAACAAAAATTATCAATCCCTCAGCATCATGGTGAACTAAAAACCATCGTTGACTAAACTGTCCGGCTTTCATACACCTAGAGTGCGTCCATTTCCTGTAGTATTTTAGGAAAACCCTAAAGAGACTTAATTTTTTATAAGCCTCTAATCACGCGAATACCATGGTTTATCTCTCCCTCACATTCATATGAGCACTTTTTGCCTTAATGAGTAAGTATGAAGTTTATGTTGTATTTGATAAATTAAACATTCAAAAGAATTTTAAAGGGATCATAAGTCAAAAGTCTAAGAGAGTGTAAAATATTTTCCTGAGTATGTATCAGAACATGTAGAACATTTATACATCTTAGATAAAGTATAGTTCAAAGTCAAGTTTAGAAGAAATACAATTTTAAACACTTTTAGATGGACCTTTGTTGTAACGCAAATGAAAAAGAAAATAAAAAAATGAAAGACGGTCAAACAGCACAGTGCGATTAAAAGATTAAAATAATTTCACAATTCAATGCATTAAAGTTGCATGATTTACTCATGAAATTGGAATATTTTTACATCATTATGTGGATAATTACCGATTTTACGCAATCAACAAAACACTTTCCATGTGCAAGAGAGGTGGGCAATTTGAAATGCAAAAACATTTCCGACCAGCTCATCTCAATTTCATCGCAATTTACGAGTATTTAAATAAGAGGAGCCCCTTCAATTAGTGTATAGGCAACAAACAAAACACTGCGATTTAATACGAAAAAATTCACTGTTTACTTGCAAATTATTGCAATCTGCGCTACTTGGAAGGTGAGCATATCCTCTAAGATGTTTCAGTTTCAATCCTCCAAAATAGCCCCCCCCCCCCACCTATAAAAAGAAGAGTCATTCAATGGAAATAAAAGACTGAGCGTTCGTCGCACTGATGAAAAAAATCGCACCCTTAGAACCAATCAGGATTTTGTTGGATCCCTCCTTATTTATTTAAATTCCTTCTCTCTCTGGCACCTTTACTAGACTCATCCCTCATTGTTCTTCTTTTTGTTCCAGGAGAAATGTCTGCGGGTGGAATTCTTCACGATCGAGGGGCGACCCTAGTTCAAGTCCTACCGGCTGCGGACAATGTGACGTGGGAAGAGGGGCCTTTCAACTTCACTAATTACATAAGTTTCGGTACATATCACACAAAGTACATTCTTTTATCTTATTCTCGATGATTTCTAATGGCCTGGTTACACGCTCACATTTCCGTCAAATTCCGATCAAAATGATGACCAAGATGGCGGACAAGAGTTACCTAGATTGACGAGTAAAATTAATTAAAACAGCTTGATGATTGAAATAGGCATGAAATAAGCACGGTTGTGTGGAAATCAGATGAAGGATGAGCCCCACAGCTCCATCATCTACCATCCAATTTTTGCAGGCCGCAGAAATTTGATGGTAGATGGTGTGCACCAGTCACCATTTGATCGGAAATTGATGGAAATTTGAGCGTGTAACCAGCACATTACCTGAAGAAATCTCTCAGCACATCAATTTCTTACATATGTAATGGGCAACGGGAGAAAAATCTGGGATGATGTGGAAAAAAATATAAGTCTGGAAATATGGTAGATCAAATGTAATGTGTAGGAAAAATATGGACAAGGATGAACAAAATCAGGAAAAAATCAGGAAAATACAAAAAAAAGTGGCAAAATCAGGAAACTCAGAAAAAAAATATATCAAGATTAAATGGGACGGAATAAAAATCGACAATCAGAGCAAATCTCCAAAAAAAAGAAAATCTATCTCCTATGAGAGTCGCGGCGAGAGTGCCGTGGCCTCCTCTTTCGGGGAGCCCCCGGACTCCTATCGTCCTCCCTTTTGCCATTTTCGCCGGACAACCCCCAAAGTTGGTCATTGGTTGTCCTAAGTCGGGGAGAGATGCCGCGGTACGGCGTTGCAACTTCGGGATTGCTGTGGTCGTGGACCAGGCAGGTTGGCCCTTGGCTGACCGGCTGATTTGGGGCCCCCGCAAAGGCGCGGTTTTTGACTGGTCAGTTTTAGAGTACCTGTATAGCAAGAGTATGGACAGATGTGAAACTCCGAAAATTCATCAGGCCTTCACCGATGCTTCTGCAAATAAAGTTAGGGCCCAGAAATGCAGCCAACCTATGAATTTCAATTATCCAGAACGATTTACTAATACTATTGTTACGAACCGTCGTTTATTAAGCACGTGTTTGACTCAGTTTTTGCATAAATTTACTCAATTTCGCGGAAGAACGCTCATTTCTGTACATTCTTGGCCATCATGGTTAGAATTGGAATCTGCAGACTGGCAGTGAAATTTTGTGCGTTAGAAGTTGGTTAGAAGGGTGGCTGCACTTTTGGGCCCTAAGCCCT